CCTCGTCTCTCGAGGGGGCCGAGGAGGGCCGCAAGAAGCTGCAGCGGGAGCTGGACAACTTGATGCTGCAGCTGGAGGAGAAGACAGCGGCCTACGACAAGCTGGACAAGACGAAGACCCGTCTGCAGCAGGAGCTGGACGACGTCCTGGTGGATCAGCACAACCTGAGGCAGGTCGTGTCCAACCTGGAGCGCAAGCAGAAGAAGTTTGATCAGGTAACAGGAACCCAGGATGTGAAAAATGAGACTTTTTTTTTTTTAGAATTTGTTTTGTTTTTCCAGGGGGAGGGGCATATTCATAGAGATGACTGTTTTTATTGTCCTGTGAGTTCTTGAATTCACCTGAATCCTCTGGGATCCTCAGATGYTGGCGGAGGAAAAAGCTATTTCCTCTCAGTACGCTGCCGAGCGTGACAAGGCCGAGGCTGAAGCCCGGGAGAAAGAAACGAAAACCCTCACTCTGACCCGTGAGCTGGAGACTCTGACGGCCCTGAAGGACGAGTTGGACCGGGCCAACAAACTGCTCAAAGTTGAGATGGAGGACCTGGTTTCTTCTAAGGACGATGTTGGCAAGAGTGTAAGCAAAATCTGTGACTGGATCTGTGGTTGACACTTTTTTTCCCCCCAAAAACTGCTAGATGACTCCAAACTGTCTGCAGGTTCATGAGATGGAGAAGTCGAAGCGCCTCATGGAGCAGCAGCTGGAGGAGATGAAAACCCAGCTGGARGAGCTGGAGGAYGAGCTGCAGGTCACAGAAGACGCCAAACTGCGCCTGGAGGTCAACATGCAGGCCTTGAAGGCCCAGTTCGACCGAGACCTGCAGGCSAGAGACGAGCAGGGAGAGGAGAGGAGGAAGCAGCTTGTTAAACAGGTGGAACAGCAAACACATTTTAAATTATTTAGCTTCAAACTGTTTTCATACAGAAGGAGATTTGTAAATTATGCTTGGGTCTTTTTTTCAGGTGCATGAGATGGAAATTGAGCTTGAAAACGAACGCAGGCAGCGTGCTCAGGCTCTTTCCTCAAAGAAGAAACTGGAGACGGACCTGGCAGACCTTGAGGCTCAGATTGATGTGGCAAACAAAGGACGTGATGATGCCCTGAAGCAGCTGAAAAAACTTCAGGTAAATTAAACCTGTTGCTGCCATGACTGAAACTAAAGTTATCTTGTGATAAGAGCTCAGCAACATCTGGGGGAAAATAATATTTGAACATAGAGCAGCAAGGTAAGAACTATGTAAAGCAACAAGTCGACGCATTGTGGAAATAATATTTTGAATGATGGTCAGATGTGACTGGCAGTGATTTAATGTCTTAACATAAACCCTGCGTCTGCTCTCTAGGCTCAAATGAAAGATATCCTTCGGGAGCTGGATGATCTCCGTTTGTCCAGGGATGAAGCCGTCAACAGCGCCAAGGAGGCTGAGAAGAAGGTCAAGACCTTGGAGGGAGACATCCTGCACTTCCAGGAGGTGGGAGTCAGAGGAGACCAGCAACTGAACGATCAGATGGTTGATTACAACAAAGAGGTGTACTGACTTAGAGGAGCTGTCACGTGACTTCTCTTAGTCAGAGAGAGCGGCCATATTGGTCAGGGCAAGGACAACTCGACAGTATTGTTAGCTGGTGAAGCTGACTGTGGTATAAACTCGACATGTTAAACTCAATTCAGCACAGGAAGGAAGATGTTTGCTGTTGATGACCATTATTTTCATTTGATAGAAATGCTTTTCAGTCAGTATTTTATCTAAGGTAMACATGTCTGCAGAGAATGATTTTAACAGGCAGAAGCTTACAAATGGAATGAAATTCTATGCAGAAATCTGGTTGAATAAATTGTTGACATTAACAGCCTGCCCTTTCCAATATGGCGTCACACTCGTACCACAAAGGTCAATATTCAGAAGTGTGTGCGTGACACCCAGTCAATACGCCTCGTTGGGTAAAATATGCAGGTTTAGAGACAGATCACAACTAAGTTGCATTTCAGGAATAAAAAAAAAACTTTAAGGCTTCATTTCACAAATAAAGTTTTTGGATAAGTTTTTCATGTCAAATGTGTATTACAAAACAAAACCAATAGTTTTAAAGTTTTTGTTTTAACATAAGCTATTTTGACATTATACAATTTTAAAAAAAATAATTCAATAAAAAATGGACTCCAAACTACTACAAAGTTAACTTTAGATCTGTTCAAACAGTTTCTGTAAAGTCAAGCTGAATCTTAACGATTGTGTTTTCTGGGTCTTCGTCAGGATCTGGCCACTGCAGAGAAACTAAAGAAACAGCTCCAAAACGAGAAGGATGAGCTCCAGGAAGCGATCAACAGCAGCAACACCAAGAAGTACGACTCTCATGACAATACCTACAGTGTGTTTTTATACCAACATTAACTTAAATCACTCACATTGTGAATTTCTGCTAACAAAAAATAAACATTTCTGCATTTTTTTAGTATTGATTGTCACATCAGATGGTGTAAAATCCCACGAACAACTTGTGTGTTCTTCTGTCAGTTCTCAGCTGATGGATGAGAAGAGGAGGCTGGAGGCTCGCATCACTCAACAGCAGGAAGATCTGGATGAAGAACATCTCAACACAGAGATGATTAAYGATCGCCTGAGGAGACTGACTCAGCAGGTGAGACTCAACATATCCTGTTTGTTTAACCATAGCCTCTGCTGACTTAACATCAGAGACGTGCACAGGTCTTCTGCTAAAGAGGAAAATTTAAAAGTACTTTTGTGCATTTTTGACATCAGAACGATCAGCTGACCTCCGAGCTGGCTACAGAGCGCAGCAATTCCCAGCAGCTGGAGGGCGCTCGTTCCCAGCTGGAACGCCAGAACAAAGAGCTGAAACTGAAGCAGCAGGAGCTCGAGACCACCATCAAGTCCAAGTTCAAATCCACCATCACCACACTGGAGGCCAAGATCGCTCAGCTGGCAGAGCAGCTCGACATCGAATCAAAGTGAGCAGCAAAAAGTTGCTTTTTCCACTCAATTTAGTTATTTTACAGACTTGTGCTACCAAGTAATTGAAATAAAACCTAAAGCTAAAAAATAGTAATAAATAAAAAATAAAAGCTCATGACAGCAGCTGACTTGTGTGGGCTTGACTGAAAACTGAGCCTGGTGGGTTAAAAACTCCASATTTGAATGAAAAGCACTTTAATGCAAACATCTTTTTTCACTAGTTATATAAGGTGGTCAATCCCCTCCAGAACAGTTATTGTCGAAGGACAATGTGATGTTATTAAAAGTAAAGGTTTGAAATGCTTCTGAATCGTCTCGACATTACTTCATTTTTCTTTGTAATTTGCCATTTCTCTTCCTTTCAGGGAGCGTCAGCAGTCCWCCAGGCTGGTGAAGCGAACAGAAAAGAAGCTCAAGGAAACGTTGCTGCAGGTGGAGGAAGAGAGGCGCAACTCTGAGCAATTCAAAGATCAGGTATAGTGATGCATCTACRATGTTTTTATTTATTTTTCAATAGGATGCCTATGGGGAGGCCACTGAAAATCCAGGGTGGAACACAAAAACCAAAAGTCAAAACAGAATTTCAGAAATGACTAATATGTATTATTTATGTTTTTTATTACTTGAAAGAAAAGCACTGTCTACCCATAGTTTCAGCAATCTTATTAAATGTTTTCTCTACTTAATGCCAGTAATTTGACCCTTCTGAAACAGATGAGCATCTTCTCCACAACCACAGATGTCTTTCCACATGTTTAACTAATAAGAAGCTACTCACTTCATCAGTTAGGGTTCATTAATTTGTCAGCTGAAACTTCATAAGCTTGTGTTYTTTGTAGTTTTATCTGAAATATGTCTGCCACATATTGTAAGTAAAAACTGCCCTTTGCAGGTGGAAAAAACAAATAGTCGAATGCGCCAGATGAAGCGTCAGCTTGAAGAAACGGAGGAGGAGCTTACCAAGGCCAACACGTACCGCAGGAAGCTGCAGAGGGAGCTGGAGGATGCCACTGAGTCGGCAGACGTCATGAACCGTGAAGTCAGCACTCTCAGGAGCAARCTCAGGTAGAAACCAAGTAATTTTATGTCAGTTATGAATTCAAACTACTGTTTTAAATGTGCAGCTCATTTAATTTTTAAAAACTTTTTTCTTTTTTTCTCTCAGACGTGGTGACGTGCCTACAGCTGTGAGACATGGCCTTAACCGTGGTGCCCTGGAGAGTGACGAGGATGGAGACTCGTCTCTTGACAAATCTGGGAACGAGTGAATTGGCAAGAGGAATTACTGCCAACATGGAAAATWTCATGAAATGTTAGCCTTATGTTTCCAAATAATTCATTTATAATAAGCCAAAGAAATTATCTCCCAAAAGCCATTTTTAAATAAAAATTACATTTTCTATTTTTCTACCTTAATCCTTAAATATGTGCATGTAACGAGTCATTACAATCTGCAATGTCTGAGCTCTCGAGCAGGATTTCTTTAACCTCCTAGGACCTGGTGCCACATGTGGACAAATATGCATTGCAGTGTAAGAGTTTGGGTCTTAGGAGGTTAAATGTGGAAAATATTACGCTTTTTGCACATTTTTAAAGATCTATTTGGTTATTCTCTTACTGGTGATGGGTCGTCATGTAGTAACTCACTTTAGTTCTTTTCTATGTAACACAAGGTTTCTATCACAGCTTTATTCACCAAATTCAAAATGTGGCTTGTTTTTGTACCATCTATGCCTTGTGTAATCAAACATGTAATGTCTGATGCCAAGGCTGTCAGGCTAATCAGAAAAGTCAAAGCAATAAAATCTATTGCATTCAACACACTTGTCTTTTGTTTTTATTTGCTTTAAAAAACTATTTAACAAATTTTAAGTCTTATATCCGCTTGTTTGACCTTCTGCTCATCCCTGAGCACTCACTGTTTTTGTTTGTTGATGATGCTGGAAGAACACCGGAAGTCAAAGAAAAAACACCGGAAGTGTAACGCACTAAGGTCAACAGCGACACCTTGTGGACATGAAATAAAACGCGCCAGCTAACACTCGTAATGTATCCGTTTCTTTTAATGCGGTCCAGATAAGTAGAAATTATATAAACGCTTGTAGATACAGCTCCGTGATGCTGCTTCATAACTGACTGAACATGTGTCATTCAGGCGGTGGATAGGTGAGTTTATTTAATGCTATGGCTGCTGTCCTTTTTAACGGAGGACAAACTTTGTTAGCCAGATGCTAACAGCTGACACTGACAGCTGGATGACTTCTGGTTCAAAAAGCTGGTCCGGAGTGCGACGCAGGGGCACAATTTCTACTACAGCTTGTGATGTCTGTTTCGTTTTTTCCACTGAGGGCTAAATTGATTATTTATAGAAACCGAGCGAAGCTAACGTGAAGGTTAGCCGGCTAGCTGTGCCACAAGGTTCCGCTGTTGTACCTCGCTGCAGCCGGCGTGTTGAGTGGTGATGGACGTCGGTCTCCATGGGAATGCTCGCAAGGGGTCACTGTAAATATTAAAACATGGACTTTTTAAATCAAACTAGAATGGCTTTCATCGGTCCCTGACGTCTTTTAAACAGGTAAGAGATCATAGCGTTAGCTTGCTAGCAGGACTAGCAATGTTAGCATCGGTCTCTGTGTTTTCATTCTAAAACTAATTATCATATCTGACAAACATTAATTTAATCGTGTTTCTTATTTTCAGCTGTGTTTATGTATTTGTCAGACTTGGTTTGTCTCGTTGACTCCACACTACCTTCACCTGCAGCTAGCTAACCTAGCATACAGCTACCGGCGAGTCAAAGCGACCCAGTTCATGGTTCTTATGTTCTTGTTCCTTTTTTCATCCAGGTGGTCTTTGCTGAGTTCAACCAGACCAAACCGGAAGCGTAAAGGTTGAAACTGGACTCATCCGGATCAGCAGCATCCGCTTCAAAGATGGAGTTGGCAGCGGTGAGTGAATCTGACAGAAGACACAATATTAAACCATTTTTTTATCATTCAGGTGAAACTGAAATGATCAAAACATTGTTTTTGTTACACATGTGGCCTTCAGAAATAATTAATTAAATGCAGTTGTACTACAACCAACAAAAATCTTTTAATTTTAATGACTCAAATATATGTTGGATCAAAATTCAACATGTAAACAAAAACACAAAGATTCAGGATGGTGAACCAGTCTTTCCCAACAAAATGAGGCTTTTTTAAAAATAAATTCATCCCATTTGTTTATCAGGGATAGGCAATCCTGGTCCTCAATTGCTGCTGTCCTGCATGTTTTACATGTTTCTCTGCTCCAACACACCTGATCTGAATGAATGTTGATTAACAGGCTTCTGCAGAGCTTGGAAGAGGTAATTCAATCTCTGAATCAGGTGTGTTGGAGCAGGGAAACAAGTAAATCTGGACTAGTTTCTACTTCTCTCCTTCGTCCTCTTGCACAGTGCAGACTTCTTGCAACAAAACAGTGGTGAGATAATACAGCTTTTTTAAATTACAAGCTCCTTATTTCATTGGGAAATAGGGTGAGGAGCTTGTTTTTTACTCGTTTATTCACGTGCAATTAAAAATGCTTTACATTTAGCTGCACACTTTTGTTTTTGATTGGAGGTTAACACTGGTAAGAGATTTTCTTTGGACAATGCCTATGCTGGCCGGGTCGTGGTGGCTACAGGCACAAGAGGGAAACTCAGACATCCCTCTCCCAGTGATGCTCTCCAGCTCCTGGATCTTGAGTCATTTCCAGCCCCGTGCTGGAAATGACTCAAAATTAGCTCTCATTGTCGCAGTTATGCGACGAAAATTGCGTCATTTTGTTCTCAGAGCAACTTCGTCTGCCCCTTTTTTTACTCACAGGTGATTGTATTGAGTGAACCACCTCAGCTGATTTGTTTTGATGTGGAGGAGCAGCAGCTTTAATCTGAGGTCTTCATCTTTGGGTGTGAGCTGGGTGTCAGGGGAGGGTGTGGCTCTGGACATGCTGACATGATAAACTGACTTTACTGTTCATCGCTGAACACATGTCCATATTGACCCTGGTTATAATGCAGAAATAAAATCATGTTTTTAATTTACTGACAGTTAAAAAGAGGAAAAATAACTACATTTGTAGGTAGGTTTTGTTCAAACAAGCTTCTACATGTAGACTCTTTGTTTTATTCATCCTTTATTTTTTTTGGTGAAAATTCACCCTCTCTACCTCATGACTCATGCTGTTTGATAAAGATGTAATTTAACACTGAGTGTTAACTTGGGGGTGGGGGGCAGAGCCAAATACAGATGTGTGAGCGTGTCTCTAAAAGATAAAGACTGGAGCCTGTAGAAAACGGCCGTCTGGATTAAGCTTCTGCCTTGGCTGCGAATCGGGGTGGGGGGGGCATTGTGGCTTGGTGGGAGAGGAAGAAGGAAGGCTTGTCAGAGAGAGAGAGATGCAGCTTTTCTGTCGTTCTGTTTGTAGCGGCGAGATGAGAGGGAGGTGAAAGAGGGCAAAATGCAGGAAAAGCAGGATTCTCAGAGCCGAACCCCAGGCGGCCTGGGGAAGGTAGGAGTGTGTGTTTGAACGTAACACATGTGTTGAACTGTTGATTATAGTCTTTTTTTTAAATTTTATTTTATTTGTTTATGTCTCCAAGTTTGGTCAGAGCAACAGTTTATTTTTACATGCAGCTGAATTGAACGCATGTGTGTGTTCATGTGTGTGTTGTAGTGTTGAGTCTGGAGGGCAGCGTCCATGTTGTGAGGGTCCAAATATCTGTTGTGGCTTTTTCTCCTGAAGAGCACATGAGTGAAATCAGCACATTTTAGGACTGAGGGCTGTGCTTTAGATGAGGTTAGATAACATGAATGTGATGTGGTCTGAAGGTTTGTGTGTGTGTGTGTGTGTGTGTGTGTGTGTGTGTGTGTGTGTGTGTGTGTGTGTGTGTGTGTTGTCTCCACACATCTCCATCATCTGTGCTGTGGGAACCTGCCCTCTGCTCTGTGCCACAGGCTTTTCTTATTTACACAAAGAAAATGTCACGGTAACACACTGGAATTGTGTTATTTCAGTATAAGATGTAATTCTTCCTCCACGTACTTTTTTTTTCTTAAGATAGGATTTTAGACGTGTCATCTTTATGTAACGTGAAATTTTCTGGTATTCAGTGAGAGCTGTTTTGTACTGTTGAAGATTTTAAACGGCACATCTCAATTTAATCTTTGCTCCGTGTTTAATCCTTTTGTTTATTTCTGATCGAGTCTCATTATTTAATATAATTTATACCTCGTTGTACATTTTATTGCTTGCTCTGTCCCTCTCTATTTTCCCTGAAGTCGTGTCTCGTTTTTTGTCCCTTGTGTCTGTCTGTCTTTGTGTGTCTCTGTCTTTGTGTGTCTCTGTCTTTGTGTGTCTCTGTCTTTGTGTCTGCCTGTCTTTGTGTGTCTCTGTCTTTGTGTGTCTCTGTCATGGTCCTCAGGCTCACCCAGCTCTCAAAGCCTTCATGTGCGGCTCCCTCAGCGGCACCTGCTCGACGCTGCTCTTCCAGCCTTTGGATCTGGTCAAGACACGGCTGCAGACCTTGCAGAACAACGCCAAGCCAGGGTGTGTGTATATATATATGTATGTATGTATGTGTATGTGTGTGAGAACATAGACGCACACAGAAGGACCACCAGGCACACATACAGCAGCGTGCCTCTGTTAACCTACACTACGAGGGGGATAAACATCACATCACTGCCAGCATGATTCTGTTGCTGTGACCCATTTAGAGCAATTAGTCACATCAGCACCACATAATCAGACTGTTCAGCTGCACGGTTCCAGTTTCCACCACAGAGAACCTGAGCTGTCATGCTCCTTGTTTAATGGTCAATTTGATTTTTATCATTGTTTACATTTTCTTTTTCATAGATTTCACTGAGTGTTTATACAAGCCCCAAGTCTTTGAATGTTGATGTAAATTTGTACATTTGACTGTCTCTAACATTTTAAACATGTCACCCTGCAGCACACCAAAGGTGGGAATGTTCACCGTCTTCATCAACGTTATCAGGACAGAGAGATTCTTCAGTCTGTGGAGGGGAGTTTCACCTGTACGTATCTGACATCATTTTAATGTCAGCCAACACAAGGAGGAGTTGTGACTGTTTTATTCTGTAATTAAGCAGTGTCAGCTGTGGAAGTGAATGAAGCCAGTCTGTGCYGATGAGGCTTCCAAAATAAATTAAATTTGTCTGACAAAGCCTGCAGCAGTAATTTACAGCCATCTCGTTCAGCTCCATACTTCTCTCTCCCCAGAAGGGAGTGATTGTTTACATACATCACGGCCAAACATTAGCGATTGCTGAAGTTTAAAACYATTGGATCTGACTGACGCCTCCAGCAAGCAGTCGCTTCTTAAGAGAGTCCAGAACCTCTGTACGAAGCCAAGCGCAGAACAAGGAGCTGGTTTTTACCAGGCTACTTATGAACCTGTTTGTTGCATGTTTATGTAGTTTGATGAAAACAAGTTCTGATGTTGTCCAGGTACAGAGCAATCACCTCTCATATCTAGAAGAGGGCACATTTTGTTTATGTGCTTTCTTTTAGTAGTAGAAAAAAAGCAGAAAAAAATGGTTTGTAACAAAACTTGACTGGGTTAGAATCAGCTTTTTGGAAAAGTTGAGGTCCCAGTGAGGTTCTGTAAAACTACTTTGGCAATCCATTTGTATATTTATTAAATATTTCTGCCAGGGTTCCTGCAGGTCCTTAAAATAAGGCCTTAACTAGCCTAAAATGTCTTAAATCAATCTTTCATAAGTCTTAAAAATGTTAACACATTGTAAATAGGATGACTGTAATGCCTCTCAAATATTAAAATAATTGGTAACATTTATTTATTTTTTAAATATTCACAAGCAGACATTCCCCTTCGACATCACTTCACATGCAAATATCTCAACTGTTCATAAGAGCAATGTGAAATTTGTTTTRTAATRTGTTAATGTCTTTCCAAAAAATGCATTCACACCTCTTACAAAAATCTGATGTCACGGGCACTTTAAGATTTCCTCCACAGCAATTTGGGATTAAGACCCCACGGTGGGTCCTAAAACTTCAAATTTTAAGTGAGTTTAAAACTGACTGCTAAGAACGTTTCTGCTATAGTTACATATGAATAAAACAATTGGTCTATTAGCAATATTTGAATACTTCAACCAAAAATACTTTGATTCATGAGTTTCTGCCACAGTTTTTTTTTATTATATATTTTTTTTTGTCATTTGTGTTTTATTGTGAAATTGGTCTTAAATTTAAATTTCACTTGGCATTAAAAAGTCTTTAAAAAGTCTTACCGTAAATGTAACTTGCCTTAAACTGTAGGAGCCCTGTCTGCAACGAGCATGTTTAAAGTAGTCAAACTACAGAACCTGTTTTAATAACTAAGTGATCTTTTAAAGATCTTTATTATTTCTGCCTTCAGTCGTTTGTTCGCTGTATCCCTGGGGTCGGGATCTACTTCAGCACCTTCTACTCCTTGAAGCAGCACTTCTTTCTGGACCGAGCCCCGAACGCCGGGGAGGCGGTTCTGCTTGGAGCCGGAGCCCGGGCTGTGGCTGGAGTCTGCATGCTGCCGTTCACCGTCATCAAGACTCGCTTTGAGGTGCGCAGATGGTCTCTGACGGGAACAATATCAGAAACGTGAACAAACTTCGTCTCTATAATAGTTCGGATGTTTCATCCTGTTTGTGTTTCAGAGTGGCTTCTACAACTATGCAAGCGTCCCCGGCGCTCTGAGGAGCATGTACGAGACCGAAGGCATCAGGGCTCTGTTCTCAGGGCTCACCGCCACACTGCTCCGAGACGCTCCTTTCTCCGGCATCTACGTCATGTTTTACAGCCAGGCCAAGAGGGCGCTGCCTCAGGGTGAGAGCAGCAACACGTTGAGCTGGAAGTCCGTTCATTTCTTAAAACCCGGTGAGATCAGAACCGTTTATTTTCTCAGAGGTGACGTCCACGCCGTACGCCCCTTTAGTGAACTTCAGCTGCGGAGTCGTGGCCGGCGTCATGGCGTCGCTGGTCACGCAGCCTGCGGACGTGGTGAAGACTCACATTCAAGTCAGCCCATCCAGCTGGAGCACAGCAGACGCTGTACGCTACGTCTACACGGTGTGTACTAAACACCATCGTGACACAGCTTTATGTTTTTTTTATGGATTTATTGTCCTCAAATCCTGTCTGAGGGACTCGCCAAATGTGAGATGTGATGTAATGTTTTGTGACGGACTTGCAACCTGTCCAGGGTGTACCCCGCCCCTCACACAGTGACTGCTGGATATGGGCCCTAGGGATGGGAGATATACAGTCTAAGACATTCACCATGGRAATAATTTGTCATCTCGCGATAAAAACGATAAATTCCCACCACGTGCTGCCAGGTTTTACATGCCTCCCTGCTAGGTGAAGTTTTATTTGTTTACTCAGAGCGGTCGACACGCGAAGTATGTGCTAAATTAGTAAAGCTAAAAAGCTATCGTAATGACTCTCAGCGTGCAAAAACAGTCATAGTCATCTAAAAACTCCTAAGAGTTCAACAATATGTTAGAAAAACAACAGGACGGCCAGCTGCAACTTGCTGGACCAACAAAAATAACCCACAGCTCCTCCGTCTCCTCCTGCCACAAGCTGCAGGCAGCGCGGCTCGTCTCTCTCCACTCACACAACTAGCCCCTCCCTCCCCTGATCATTAACCCTTAGGTAAACGATATTATAGCTTTACCTTCCAGAGCAGCAAAACTCATTATTTTCAGTGATTAGTAAAAAGTATTTTCTCATGTTTTTATTTTTTTTATTATATTACTGATATTTTACAAGGGTTAGAGTTCTTCTGAGGTTTTTCAGATAGTGGTTAGTACAAAGAGGATRTGATTTGAAGATTTATCATATAAACTTTAGTCCATTGTTATTAAGTTTTGCTATTTACACCATTTAAATTAATGTCAAATTTGTTCTCATATTTCAGTCTTGTTTGATGGGTGTCAGTTTTACAACACGTGTCCTACTTGAACTTAATGTAGTTTAGTGGCTTCTAGTATTTTAGGGCTCTCAAGACAGAATGTAGTGATAGATTTATAATACAAAAGATTAGGCTGATATATATATTTATACATTTTATCGTCACTTTCCGTTATCGTGATAAAACCTAGAAATTATCGTGATAAATATTTTACTACTTATCGCCCATCCCTAATGGGCACCAGTAACCATTGTGGCCCTGAAATGAAGAAGCGGGTTTAAATAATGGATGGATTTTATTGAGCATAAGACCTAGGCCAGGTGGTATGACAGTATTGTGGTATACCTTGGTATTAAAGCATGATGAAGGTAAATAAAAATTATGATAAGTCCAGACCTTATTTGGCAGTTCCATTGCAAATAACTTGACGTAGTAGTTCAGACAACATCATAGAGAAAACTGAATGGATTAAAAAATATGACTGGAATAGTATATAAACTATCAGTGCAGCACCTGGAGAGACTAAATTTAATTCTTCTGCACTCCTAGAGACTAAATACATAAAGTGTATTTAACAGCAGAGTTATGATAAGTGGTATCTGCCACTTTATTTCTTTTTGATGCACGTTACAGTGGCAGGCAGAAGGAAACACGGTAGTCTCATGGAAAAATCAGCTCAATCTGCCGTCAGTCTCATCTTTCTCTCAACCCAAATAAACATACCCCCCTGACCTCCTTTCTAACCGAGGCCCAAAGTTATTTGACAAGTGCTAAAAATMTRTAGGAAGAASAAACTAAAAAGACACGAAAGTTGAATGACGTTTGGCAGTGATGGAGACCTAGAGAGAGGGAGGAAGTAACTCAACATGCCACAGACCATACACCCTCTAAAGCCCCGCCCCTTTCCACCCTGCTCTGGTAATACCCTATACCACAGAATTGTGTCGGAATGAAAAAGATCAAAACCGCCCAACGAGACCACAATTTAGATGATTTTTATGGGAAACTTTTAAAGTTTTAGCAGTAAGGATAAGTGATACGCAGCACCTGTACCTACAGTTTTAAGATGATTTCTGTTTCTCTCTCGCCCCTCAGGAACACGGCATGGCTGGGTTTTTTCGCGGCGCCGTGCCCAGGTCTCTTCGGCGCACTCTGATGGCTGCSATGGCTTGGACTGTCTACGAACAGCTGATGGCTCGGATGGGCCTCAAATCATGAAGGAGAAAATGAGGGCGAAGCCTCTAAAACCAAGAAAGACTGAATAAAGCTAAAATGTTCACCAAAAGGTCGAGGAAAAACGCCGATGAGCCCAAAGAACAGCGGGCACTGCCAAGACTCTGAGCAGAGGAAGCARGTTGATTGAAGTGAAAAACGGAGCGTGTGTGTTAATTTAAATGTTTAAATGTTGGAAAGTGTGTGTTTGTGACGTTGCACCTCTCTCAAACCCGTCTTGGCGTGTAGTGACTCCCTGCTGTGAAGTGCGTTTTTTAAATCCGTTTTAATGTTTCTGCTCCTGATGGATGATTACCTCTCAGAGAAAAAGGAGCGGTGAGTCTTTGTGGGACTTGTCGGCTTKGAGTTGGTGTTTGTAAAACGTATGAGGATTACAGGGTATCCAGGGAGCTGACGAAGCACTGAAGAGAAGCACTCCGACCTCYGCCATATTTTTAAAACTTGTATACGACCGTTTATTACCTGCTGACRTGCGGTTATTTAAAAAGGGGAAATCTGTGGCTTGTTTCAGACAATCACACGTGCTCGCACAGCTGCATTATGGGCAGATAATTTAAGCCACTCCAGTATTCACAGTGCAGCCTTGAGTCCAAAACATTTGCCTATTTAAACTTTAAATACAGCTTCAGACTCAGCATAATGAACTCAGATGTGCTTTTAAAGAAACAATAATAGTTCACATCTGTAGTTAAAATACACTCAAACATGTCCTCTCTGTGAAAGAACAAGTTTTTTTTTWACATTTAGATTTATTTTTCTGATTTGTCTGTGTTTCCGGTCAGGTTGTTGGTTTTGGACTTTATGAAAAGATCCCAGTTAAACCTGAGTTAATGAATGTTTTAGCTAAACAAAACGGTGAACAMAAGTTTAAGTTTGTACATTTTCTTGCCTGCTGATACGTGTAGATATTGTTAGCTATTTATTGATRATAAAAAAAACAATGAATAAATAATCCTTTAAGAAGGAAAAAGATAACATTGCCGTTTGTCATGTTCAACACAAAAACACAGGGCTCATTGTGATGACATCATTGGAGCATAAACTGCAGCAGACAGTAAATCACCTCCATCAAATGCTGAAGGAAGGAGAAAATAAAAAAWAATAAGAATAAAGACAAACATTCATCTGCAACAGGTAAGACATTAGCTGAGCCTATTTCTGTTTTATTTAGCTGTTTATGAATTAAAATAGATGATAAAAATAAAGGGTACATGTTGGATTAAAAACATGGAAACAAAATAAGATTAAAGGTTCAACTTAAATTATTCCGTTTGTTCGACAAGCTTTAACTAAAAAAGAAAATTGTGTAATAGTGTCACAATTCACAAGTTCAGCTTCAAACTTAGCTCTTCTTTTGTAACTGCTCATCTGCATAGACAGCCTCAATAACTGTTCTTTTTTAGTCATAGTTTTGTTTTTCTTACAAAACAAAGCTTTTTTAAATGTAGATTTTAATTTCAGTCTTTATTGTTGTCATTCAAACATTCATTGTGTGATTATTATAATGAAGAACATGCATCTTTCATATTTTAAATTTAAAACGTAGTTATAATTATTCTTGCTGATGATAATGTAACTGTCTAAAACAGGGGTATCTGATCCTGGGCCTGAAGCTCCGCTATCCTGCATTTTGAAGAGGTTTCTCTGCCCCGTCACACCTGATTTGAATGAACAGGTGATTAACAGGCAGAACACGAAGAGGTGATTGAGTCACCTAATCAGGTGTGTTGGAGCAGAAAAACATGCAGGATAGTGACCCCTGGATAAGGTTTTCCACACTACTAACCAACTCATTTGTGTTTCCTGCTCTCTAGCTCCATGAAAAAACAAAATTGCATCATTTACTGTCACGATAAGAAATGGTAAGTTATTCGTGAAGGCAAATAATTAACCTTAAAACTAAACATTTTAAAGTAAAATCTACATTTTTTCCTCCTTGACGGCCTAAATCTGTATTTTARTAGCAGATGAAGCTGAGTTTCTCCAGGCAGTCCCAGCTCTCCCACAGTCCCCCCTTGGTTAGAGCTCCGCAGCGTTTATTCACTGAACACTGGGGGTCCTGGTATGGATTCCACTTGGTGTACAGCAGCGGGAGCCCGTTCACCCACAGCCACTCGTCTCCAAGGAACCGCAGGCCGATCCACACCCGCTCAGTGACGCCGGCTGGTTGGATCTCTCTGGTGGCCAGCAGGTTCTCGGTCTCCGACAGCACGCTGTTGAGGTTGCCGTAGTTCTTCCTGCAGTGCTCCAGAGCCTCCTCCCAGGTCTTCTCCTCCTGGACCACTTTCAGGCTCAAACAGAAGAAACCGTGTTTTTCTCCRCCGTTTTTCCATTGCCATCCGCTTTGGGTCCAGTAGCCATTATTGGCAGTGGTACTGGACGATAGAMTAAGCAGCCCATCGTTTTGCAAATCAAGCTGGTTGTGGTAGGTCACGAGGTCTCCACCCGACCATACCCATCTCTGGAGGGTTTTGTTCCAGTAAATACCGATCCATCCCTCGTCGTTCACCCCTACAGACCATCTGAACACCAGTTCTTCCAGAGTGTTGGTGAGAGGCGACACGTCGGTGAACACGTCCTGGCAGACTGATCGAGCCTCTCCCCAGGAGGMCCCTGTTGAGACAAAAACGTGTTTCGCCGACAAACAGCAAGCGCTTGTTAGGATGAGAACTCTGAAGATGATCTTCTCCATCCCGCTTCTGTTTGAGTTCATGAAGAACAAGAGTCTGATTTTATTTATTCTCATCCTCACAGACTGAGCTGGAGGCAGAGCAAACATTTGCATTGATCTGAATAAGATGTTTAAACCCTTAAACATCCAGATTAGAAGTGGTCATGATGCTCCCAGGGCATCCAAATTTAGGCTTTCTGTTTTGTTTGGGTTGAAACCAGAAACAAATGAGAAACAACTATCTTTGCTTTACTATTTATCTTTGCTGAAAACATTGACATTAACCTTTACAACCAAAGTTAATCAAACACATGGACAGGAATAAAAATAGTATTGCTGCTTCGACTTTAGGTTGTGAAGAACACGAGCACGACTTTAAAAAGACAAATTAGAAATCATACAGTGTTTTTGCGTTTGACCTGATCACTGGAYGGGAAGTGATCCTTGAAGCTGGTCTTTAGTTGTTCTTAGACTTCAGCTAAAACCTTCCTGAACTGTTTTGTTTAGAAAATTTATTTCCGTGTGACTGTGAGCTGCAGCATGTGGGAACAAGCCCTGTATCCAAACTGCTGTCTTTAAACTACTTTTATTCTTACAGAAAAAAAACAGACTTTGTTTCTCATCTATAAATAGTGACCAGAAGAATAAAACTGCAAACATAAATGGCTGAAATGAGCTTTTACAGAGCCTAAAGGAACAGGGCAGACTGATCATCAGATTAACATGTGTAGGGGTCACCTCGAGTGAATAATGACCCCTACACGTGACAGGAGTTATAAAACATTAACATCTTCAGTCATTTTTAACAGGTTTCTCTTCCTAACTTTGTCTCCAGCAGGTTTATGTTCTGACTGCAGGAGAATCTGATTTGCTTCTCAAATCATATCTTCAGGACGGATTGTCCACACGSTTATCTGTAAGTCATCAGCCTGTCCTCACATCTGCTCGGTACATTTAGAGGTTTACAGTACAGCTGCTTTATTCACTTTGTTTCTATGTTAATCTTTGTAAAACTAGCTGAGGTATAATTGTTGGCCAGTGTTGCATATTACTAGATGAGGAATCCATCCGGTTTTCTTTTACCTGCTTTACCTTTCAGGGTCGTAGGAGAGCTGGTGCCCATCACCAGCAGGAGAGTCCATCACAGGGGCATGTACTGTAGCCTACGTTCACACTGCAGGTAAACACCACCCATATCGAAGATTTTCATGACAGTCTGAAGGTGACAAATCTGATTTTCCTATTTTCAAATCYGACCCAGCCTTTTCAGTACGTGCTACTAAATCAGATACATACTTGCTGCTTGTCAAAGCAACCTCAGTCTAAACGGTCAKGTTGCAGCTGACATTTACGTCAGTGATGGAGGATGAGCAGATCGATCCAGGTAATTATAACAATATCAGCAACGGTTTAAATCTTGTACTTGTCTGTAGCTGCAGAACAGAAGTCCAGTTGTCTTTGTTCGTTTTACTTTCCATGCCCCCATGAGAATCCACAGAAAAATGACAGTAACATTGTCAGGCCATGCTAGAGTTACTGGATCAATTCTTTACTTTCAAAAATAAAATCCTGGATGGGAGCAGCTGTAAGAGGCAGGTTCAAATGTAAGCCATGAACCAAACAAGCATGTCRGATAATTATTTAATTGGCTCTAATAAGTTCAGAATKGACATGCTRGCATGTAGCATCCATATTCTGTAAACAGCGAGCTGRATGTGACGTCACATCATTTTCRGCACATGCAGCTGATATTAATGCCATAGAGAGATCACACTGTAGTCTGATGGATGTTGTGTTGGTAATATAATGTGAATGTCCACACATAGAAATAAGACAGATTTTTGCAAAAAATTGGTATTGAAAATTAAAGCCAGAGAGACAAAAAAAGTTCACATTCTTAACCATCTCACTTTAGACCAGTGTTTCCCAAAGTTGGGGTCGGGACCCAAAGTGGGGTCCCGAAACATCAAGTTGGGGTCCTGAAAAGATTTTTGGAATTAATTACATTTATGTAGTATAAAAATATTGTTACTGTGCCCATGTTTAGTTGACCTGATACAAATGTTTATCATCCAAAAACAGTTGGGGCCACAGGTCTCTGCTACTGTTATTTTGTGGTTTAAAGCTGAAAAGTTTGGGAACCACTGCACTTTGGTTCCCAAAGTTGGGCTTGAACCCAATTATGGGTGATGAAGCACCTTGGATAATCTCCAGAAATCAATTTAAAGGGTAATAAAATAATTTCTGTTGTAATATTTTCCCTATAACTATTACAAAAACACAAAATAAGTATAAATAAGTATTTATATTTGTGTTCAAGCTGTTTAAATTTGTAAAAAACCTGTGTTTTTAGGGTTATTAACAAAGTTTGTGTACTCARACCAGTAATATTTGGGGTCACAAGTTTTTGCCATGAATATTTTGTGTGTCAGAAGATAAAAAGTTTGCGAACCACTGCTTTAGACAACCTGGAGAACCATGGTGGAGCCAGAGGATTTTTATCGGAGTGGCCCAGAATTTTTTTTTATTTTTCCTGCGTGGCAATTTGCTAAAGATCTAATAGTGTTTCTTGGTCACGCTCTTATTTAATTGTATGGGTAGAGAATACCATGAATTCCTATTTGAACAGAGCAGAAGAAATGAACATGCATATAGAAATAGCTTCAGCAGCAGTTAGGGTGTCCAGAGATTTTTCCATGGCCAGCCCCTTGCTCCCCCTCTGCTGGAGAAAACCCACACATGCATGGGAACATGCAAACTCAAAAATCAGAATTGAGCAATAAGACCTGCACTGCGAACGTAGCCTTTGTGTCCACAATCAACAAGCCCAAACAGCTTGGTTACAAATATTTGATGCACAAATTTTTTTAACCRCAAAATATATTACTGTAGTTAATAAAACATTGTTTTAAAGGCAGACAGACAGCATAGTGTTTTAAATCATGACTCATGTTCTACCTCAAGGTCGCATGAAAATAAATTTCCTAAACAAAACAGTTCAGGAAAGCTTCTGTTGACACCTTGCAAAATAATAAAAAAAACAGCATCTAGGTTCACTTCACGTCCAGTGGTCAGATGAACGCAGACATGTTATGTAATTCGTCTTTTCAAATGTTTTTTTGTCAAACTGTTCTTTTTTTTTTTAACGAAATTCAGAATTTTATTGCTAATTATTTACCTAATAACACCCAGTTATACTTGTGTTAAACTGGGTTTTCTGGCCTTCCTTCTACCATATTTTTAACAGAACATTTGTACATTTTAGAAACCCTGTCAGAAAATTAGCAAAATTTCACCACTAGAGGGTACTAGAAAGACAACAACCTAAATAAATACATTTTTGGCTTCAGAATTTGACAGGGACATTTGAGAGCTTAGGGAAAACAAAYACACCCCAAAATACTTCTTTATCATAAAAATCACTGATTTGCTTTTTGGTATATGTTCAGTGGCATATTTACCTACTAAAAATAGTAAATGTTAGGTATTTTAGGTAAAATGCAAGGTATTTTAGAGTGACACAAGTGAAAATTGCATGTTTCTGACTTTCTGTTTTAAGCAAASCTTCAAATTTTATTAGGAGCTCAAAGAATTCAAATGATCTTCAAGATTATGATTTACAAATCTGCAAGCCTRTGGGTTCTGCAGGTCCTCAAAGGATTGGAGGGGCAAAGGTTGTGGGGGTCCATACTTTTGAGGGCTTGGGCCCCTGTTTTAACTGCTTGAAGTTCTAGTTATTGAGTTTTGAAAAGTGTTACATCCTGTGTAGCCTACCTTTTTTTGTTTTGTTTTTGGTTCTTATTTACAAGTTTATTTTCTGTGTTTCTGCTAGATGTCTTCAGCACCTTTTACCTGGATCACTTTGTTTTCAAAATGTTGCTGATTTTTTAAAATAAATTTTCTTTTACCTTTTGTTTCTTTTCCTTTATGTCTGTCTGTCCTTGTTTTTCTCTGTGGTCAGCTCGATTTAGCTTACTGTTAAACCAGCCTCCCCTCTCGAGTTGTTTACAGATTTTTACAACATAATTGTATTTTTTCTGAAATAAYTGGGATTTTGACAAACTCCTRAATTTTAAAATTYWGTAYGTCATAAACTTATTTTCCTAAAACAATAACCCCATGCAGAACAACACATTTTCCATCACAGTGTAACTTTATCATGAGGCTGCAGTTCATGGCGGCTGACAAAAAGATTCTTCAGATGTTTACAAACTGAAGACTAACTAGAGGTCTATAAAGTACTTGAAAAAATAACTAAGTAAAAGTAAAATTACATGAACAGAAAATGACTTTGCATAAATTTCACTGATGAGAAAACTACTCAAGTAAAAGTCATAAAACTGATCACAAAAATTAGAAAAGTAAAAGTACTTTTAC